CCGCCACTACCACATCCCAAGCAGAGTCACTACCATCACATGCATCTCACCATCGCAGCACCTAATCACCATTACCGACAACATGAACCGTGGTATAGATCATCGAATCGGCAAAAAATTCAGATAGCCTAAACCCACCACAAACCGAACCCAAACTCACCATTTCAGATCCTAGTCATTACAGGAGTGGCGACTACACACAAACCCAACATCTCCGAACCCACCATCACCACCTAATCACCAGCGCCGCTCCTACCATCTATCTGCGAGTACAGTAGTAGCGAAGAGAGAGAAGCTACACAGATCGGCTTTGAGAGAGAAGCCGAACAGATCGGCATTGCTTCGCTCATCGCTTCCAGCAGTGAGCACCACTGCGTCTGTTGGTGTTTCTGTAGCTTGCAGCAGTCAAATAAGGGTTTCAGTCCGATGATCAGTGAGCACCACTGCGTCTGCTGGTGTTCGGACGTCGATACGAGCGCCACCTCCAAATTCAGCCACCGCACCACAGTACAGATCGGCGCTACAAGTGAGCGCCATTGCCCACCGTTGTGGTCTTCATCTATGGCCACGTGCGAGGGAGAGAGTCGACGGAAGAGAGATAAAGAGGGAGATGAGAGTGTATTTGATTTTTAGGGTTTGAGGGTGAAATTTATATATATAATATTTAATATTTAAAAAACTTTGACCCTGATTTTTGAACAATAAAACTTTGACCCTGATTTTTTAACATTGGAACTTGAAAGACAGGGTTCCATGTAATTTCCTCTAAATTTAAACCCAACATACACTCTATCCAAACATAACACATGGGCCAACATTATCATAGCCCAAATACAATTGATGCCCCAAAATCAATTGCCAAATGTCTTCCTGATACACCGTGACCAAATAGAAAGCTTGAAGTCGGCGATTTTTGTGGACCACAAAGTGGTAGGTGGCTACAATAGATGGCGAGTAATTTATTTTCTTGAGTCTCCGATAATGAGCAGCTAGTGGTTAAGAAGGGCGGCAGGTGCAAAGGTTGTTAGAGTATATGGATTGATTGATGAAGTTCATGTGTAGATGGGTTTTCTATTTGTTGATTGGAGCCGCCAGTAGTTTGAAGAGGGTGATGATGACGGCGGCTAGGTGTGAAGCTTGTGGACTGTGTGTGTATGGTTATATTGGGGTTTAGGGTTAGCTTTTGTTACGTGGAATTGCAATAACTCGGCTATTAATATTGGACAACATCAGCTTTTTTTTTCCTCTGCTGTTACTGCTGTTCAATGCTGAATTTTCGGCTGGCGGTATATAGTTCTGTTGGTTTATTGTGGTGAATCGGGGTGGAAAGAGTGCATATCTGTTTACTTGATGTGTTTGAAAGGTAGAAAGTGGTGGGTGAAGTTTTAGGATACAAAGGAAACGAGTGATTCCCTTGGATGAAATGAATTGTTGAAGGTGATGAATTGTTACCCAAATTTAGCTCTGATACCAAATTTGATGAAAGATAGGATAAAAGGCAGCAAGAAAGGGAGAAAAATCGGAGAAAATGGGGGAGAAACTGGAGAAGAAACCAGGGAAAGGGAAGAAGTAGGGGAGGAGAACGTAGCAACAAGCTGATGAGAACCACATAGCAACGAACACTACGCAACCCACAACGAGATTGGAGATCTCAAGAAAGTCCAAAAGATAATCCCGGTTTTGAGTTTG